CCAAGCCCTATGAGAAACAGTTAAAGGATCTGAATATGGTTGGCCCACAAGATATGATAGCATCTTCAAATATCTGAAGGGTTATCTCACAGCAGACAGAGTTGACATACTCTCTGTTGCCCAAGAGAACAGAATTAGATTAGAACCAAAGAGTTAAAAATACACAGAAGTTGGCCCAGGCTAGACAGCAGGAGGAAATTCCCGACTGTATAAGCTCACAGCTAGTGGAACATGAAGAGGTGAGTTGCCCTTTATGGGTGGTCTTCAAACAGAGGCTGAGTGGTCATCTGTCAGAGATACTCAAATGGATCCGGTACTCACCAGAGATGGGATTAGATCTTTAAAATCCCTTCCAACTCTGTGTTTCCATAAAATAAAAGGCATGACAGAAAAGGAAATATAGCTAAATCTCATTTGTACCAACCCTATTCACGATACCAACCCGCATCATTTTATACTTGCAAATGGTTCTTGCTTCCACCACATCATACCCTGCCCTTTTGTCTTTTTTCCCTTCTTTCTTTGGAAAAACCTCTGCAATTCCATCCAGCTATGACTTCCTTGGTGGTCCTTCTCTCAACCCATTCATTCTGCATATAGGACTCATTCATTTTTTTATATAAGACCAAACGACCACAATATTTGTTATACCGATCACTTTCTTTTGCACTCGGTCTACACTGATTCATTCCTTACCTTATCTGTTCTTATTTCATCAAATATCCCATTCTTACTGCATTCAGCTGATATCTCCTGGCAACCCAACATTCATTTCTACATAGTGCTATATAAATTAGAATAAATAAATAAATAAATGAAAATAAATGCGAAAGCACACTATTACACACAGCCATTTTCATTTTTTTCAACAAATATTCATTCTTCAAATCAGCCACATACTGTCCATTATCCTTCTACCTACATCTATACCTTAAATTTTATCTAAAGTATGCAGTATGTAAATTTATCTACTCATTTTAATTTTTTTCACCAATGAAATTATTCACTCAATTTTCCCTCTCAAATATCCTGGTTTTTGATACATTAATTTCTGTATCATACTCCTTGCATCTCACATTAACTGCAGCTCAACCCAGTTCTCTCAGCCCAAAACATGGCATCATCTACATGCAAATGACAGATTCCCAACCACCTCCATCACTTCCCAACCACTTTCATTCCATACCCTCTGCTGGAGGCTACTTATCTTGCCCTCTTCACCCACTTCCAAAAAATTTTTTTTTTTTAATTTCCATCTAAATCGCTGCCCAGAGTTGCTTTGTGTGAGATGGGCAGCTATATAAATGTGATAAATAAATAAATAAATAGATAAATAAATAAATAAAATCACTCTGCCTGTTCTTTCCCTTTATTAAACTTAGCCATTCCTTGCTCTTTGACTAATTCTTTGCAACTATCTTTTTCTCACTATATACATGACATAATCTCTTTCATCATCATTTTCTGCAGCCATCGCTATTTTATATACATTTTTTCTCATATCCAGACTCTCTTACTCCATCCTTCTGCCAAACATCCTTGTTCATACTACTCATTAGCTTTATTCTACACAGTTTGGTGGCACTTGTTAAAGATCATAATTCTTTTCATTCTGTTCCAAGCAGCTTCCAAATCCTCTTTTTCTTATGGCTTTCCACTCATTTTGTGAGGAGATTGTTATACTTTATATGCAAGTATACTTGTTATACTTTTCATCCAGGACATGCTTTCTCTCCCTGCAGTCGTTCTACTTTCATTCTCATTTCTTTCACTACTTCCTTTTTCTTCCATGTGCATTTGTTCTTATTTGACACTACCAAAAGATGCTTTGTACCACATTTGGAATCTTGCATTGCCCTTGTATCCTTGTATCCTTCACTAATTCTCTCAGTCTTTTATCCTAAACAATCACATAAATCATACTTTTAGATTTATTCATTCCTTTCCACGCTCATATATGAACAGACATTTATTTTCTTTCCCTTGGAGAAACACTGTTCTCTGTATTGCAGCAATACCTTTATTACTAAGCCAATTAAAGGTAACTGAAATAATGTTCAAACTTTCCAGGTTTAAAGAACTTTAGTACCAGGCTAGACAAACCAGAAAAAGCAATCCTGCAGTCACAGTACACAAACATTACTCTAGTACGAGCTTGAAACCAAGACACTAATTTGGAGCAACCTGGGGAAGTCCCACCCTCTCAAATGCTGTAGCACTTTTTGTAAATGCTGACTTCTAGGTGGTGACGAAAGTGGAGAATGTGCTAGAAAAGCCTGAACTCAATTTATCTAAAACAAATAGCCCCAGTACAGACGGGATGTCTTTTCAGACTTACAGTCACAATTTCGTGGACCACAACAAACATACCTAAACCATGTTAAAGTCTTATGAAGTGTTCTGCTTAGTGAGTCAAGCCTTTGCTTCTACGTTCTAGGCCAGGGTTCCACAAAGTGGTCACTATTGATCCCCAAGGGTTGATGGGACTATCCAAGGGGTCATTAAATGGTTGGGGGTCAAAAAGGGGTCGATAAATGATGGAAGATTGACTGGAGTCAATTAATCTTCTGGGGTCTCTGTGGAGCTCCACACCAGTCCCTAGTCTTGAAGGTGAGGTTTATCAATTATTATTATTGTTGTTATTGTTATTGATAGTACTATTAGTTAAAGTAGTATTTATTAAATTATTTTCATATAATAAATGTTTGGATTTATTAAATTATTTTCATATAATAAATGTTTGGATTTATTAAATTATTTTCATATAATAAATGTTTGGATTTATTAAATTATTTTCATATAATAAATGTTTGGATTTATTAAATTATTTTCATATAATAAATGTTTGGGGGTCAATTAACAAACTGAAACCTCATGAAGGGATCGATGAGCTGAAGAGTTTGGGGGCCCTGTTCTAGGCAATTAGTTTTAAAGCAAGTAATCTAATTTAGCATCTTAAGGCAAAAATTGCCAAACAGACATTCTTAATTTACAATTTACCTTCAATAACACATAAAACTTGTGGACGTCATAACTTAGAGTTCTTCAATTACGTAATTTGAGAGCATAATAGTTGTATTTAACTGCAGCCTTATATTTGAATTATTCTGACATGCATCAGAAAACAGAAAACTTTTTTGTTAATTTGATTATGTTACACATCTTTTAAGTTACTTTGATTTCAACAAATCCAACCCTCGTTGGAATTTCAATAAGCAACTGAATTAAGTTTCCATCATAAAAATTATAAAAATCTTTTTTTCATGGCAACTAAAATGTGGTTCTTCTCAATGGCAGCAAATGGGGGAAGGATTTTCAGGATTTTCCTTTCAGTAAAACTACACTTTATAGATGTAAAACTAGCACAGACTATTTTATTTCAGTTGATTTTTAACATAAAACGGAAGAACTGGTGTGGTGTGTGTGGTGGTTAATCAGGACTGGGAAGAGCTGTGTTCTAATCCACTCTGAGCCATGGAAGCTGACTGAGTGACTTTGTGTTTGCCGCTCTCTCTTACTCCAACAGGTTCAGCCCAAGAATCACCACGAGACAGTCCAGAATTCAGCTCAGCTTCTTTATTAGCTTGCACCTAATAGACAGAATCTCGCCAGACTAACTCTAATCCCCCAACGACAGCAACTATAACCATCATGCCCTTGGGGGGGGCAGTCTCCTCCTCTTGACTTTCACACAGTCCGTCTGGGGGCTGAGGAGAGGCGTTCCTTGGAATGTCTCTCCCCCCTCCCTGTAAACTTGAAGCTCCATTCCAGAATCCTCCCCACTCACACAACCTACCTCATAGGGTGGTTGTGGGGAAAACAGGAGGAGGGACTGCTATGAATGTTCCTTGAGTGAAAGGCAGAATATAAATATGAAAATAATGCCAAATTACCCAAAGTTGCATGCCTTAAATATCAGCTGTTGGAGGACAATGGTAGAAAGAGGAATGCTATGTGTTGGGCAGTAGGATTTAGTGACTGTGGTCTAGACAACAGAATTCCTGATGTTTCACTGGCAACTCCATTGTCTAGACCAAGGTCACTAAACCCTGAAGCCCAACAATGCTCAAAGGTGGAAAGAGGGATATTGCTCTCTGGAGTTTCCAAATGCATTTGGCTGGACATGGTGTGATCCAGCACAGTTCCTCTTATCTAAACTGCCCACAGACAGCCTATTACTGTTTGCTCTAAATCCCTGAGCCCTGAGGCTCACTGGGTGGCCTTGAATCAACAACTTATCTGCCACCACCCTACAGCTCCGGCTAGTTATTCCGATAAGATTGGGGAGAGAAAGCAGCACCAAGGCAGCTAAAGTTGTGGTGGATTTGTATCCGCATCACAAACTAACATTTTAACCTGAAAGGTGGAGTGAATCCAGCCAATGTGGACAGCTTAGGGTTTAAGTGTCACGAAAGGTAAACAAACGATAACTACATTAACGGCGGGTGCCATTCACACAACCCGTAAGCGTTTCCAGGGAGCGTTTCGACAAACGGAAGAGAAGCACTTGCAGCGAAGTCGCAACCCCGCTCCTGGGAGCGCGTATCTGTTCCAAGTCTCCGCCCTCGCTCGGAGGGCAATGAGAGAGGAGACGCCTGGTCTTCCGTAGTGCTTTTCGCCCTTGAGAAACGGAAGGATTAAATGCGACGTTGCGTTGTCGCCAATAGCGGCCCTAGGCTGGCAGCCAGCGACTTTGGCACCCCAAGTGAACCATACAATCCCTACAACAAATCTGCATTCTTTTTTCCTTGCAAGCCTGCGCCCCACCTAACCTAGCATCCGAGGAGACCGCCTGGTTCGCCTATGTGGAGGACCCCCTGTCCGACAACCTCTTCTGTAACGGGGAGGCGCGTTTGTGAGAAAGCCCTGCCGGAACCCGCCTAAATTCAGGTCCAGCCATGCCAGGGCAAAGGGGCGCCTCGATCTGAGACAAGATCCGCGCCTGGAGGCGGAGAATAACAGCGCGGGGAGGGGGGCGAGCAGAGGGAGAACCTCCTCACCTTTCGCAATGCAAAGCGCAGCTGCTGCCCACAGGAGCGGCGGCAGCAGTCGTTCCCAGGCGGTCATATTCTGAATATGTCGAAAACGAAACTGGGTGAATCGACCTTTCTCAGACGAAACAGGCTGGTCATCTCTTCGTCTTTTCTCCCAACGCCCGATCGTTCAAGAAGTTTTTCATCTCGATCCTTTATTCTGTGACTGCGCCTCTTTAAATCTTGCCAGTCCTCTGTATCAGAGTAGGGAGAGAACAGCGGAAAAGAGCAGCCACGATCTGCTCGAAAAGCCGTACGTCCGGTCTGTAACCTCTTTTCATTTGTTAGTTAAAAGGATCTGTGATCTCAACCTGCTCGTCGGTAGGGCGTTCCCTCGATGCTACAGCAGTTAGCCCTGTATGTACGGAACTTTGCCCACACGCTCCGCGCATGCATTCATTCAATTTGTACGGCTACCCAAGTGGTGCTGGGCAATTAACAACATTAAGTACGTGCAAAAAAGACACCAATGATAACAATCCAACAAACCAGTGGAGACACACATAGTTAGAACGCCTATAGTTTCAGGCACAATAATTCACAGAATACACATTGACTACACTGAGGGCTCACGCAAGGGAAGACCCCCAGCTTCAGGGCCTTTCAAAAGCCCAGCAGGGCTTCAAGACTATCCCAATTGCAGAGCAAGCACAGTGACAGAGAAGCCACACTTCCTGGGTCCCACAGGAAGGCAGTTTAATAGACAGGACCCTGAGACCTATTCTGAACTTGCTGGGGAGGCAGAGACCATTGGAGACAGAGTCCTTCAAATATCCTAGCCCTGTGCCATGAAGGGTGAGAACCAGTAATGCATACAGTAGTGGTGATCACTAAATAAGAGGGATGATAATTACCACTACTGAATTTAACTGAAAAGGAAGAAGGAATCAAGACAACTTTCCCCCCACTACTTTCTTCCCCCAGTTCTAGATGACATGCCTCCCTATTTTCATGTTAGTCCCTATCAAAGAAGAGAAAACGGAAAATCCTAACAGGAGCAGAGACAATGCAAACTGGGCAGCCAAGTAAGTACTATTTTGAACTCGCCACATTCTGAGCAACAGCTTTCTTTTGCACCAGTGAGCAACAGAAAGTGAAACAGCTTTAGAGATGACTAAATTTGCCCTGCCCCTGCAGCAAGTGAAGAAGACCTGGGTGGTAGAAGAGCCCAGCACCAGAAAGGATGTTTCATCTTTTCTCCCAAGCTGTGGCAGGATGACATTCTCCCCTCTTCATTGTGAATACTGTAGGCAATAGGCCAGCTGAAATTATTAGTATTTCTGTACAGAACTGTTGAATAATTTCTGCTGACAAAGATACTTGAGAAGTGCTGGGGAATTCTTTATTAAAATATTGTTGCCTGCTTCATTCTATTTCCAATACTACATCACAGTGTTTTTTGGTCACATGGAAAACCTGTGGAACAAGAGACATATGCAAACCCCCAAACCCTCTTTAGGTGGAAGAAAAAAAATCTTTCCAAACTTGCTGCTGAATTTTGGTGGCACTTGCTCCCAAATTGTGATTCTATATGTGGTATGAAATATACAAAAACTGTATCAGAGTGCCACTACAGGAACCAGCTTTGGCTCAATCCTGACAAGAGTGAGTCATTGTGGGTTTTAGGGCCCTCTGGACCTAGAGACTTCCATTGTTAATCCACTGGAATGCAATCTGGGGGTTCTCCTGGACTTGCAGGTAATAGCCATGGCCAGGAGAGCTTTCGTACAATACATCTTATGCAATAGTTGCTCCCATTCCTAGATTGAGAGGCACTGCTGACAGTCACTCATGCCTTAATCACCTTCCGATTGGATTATTGCAACAGGCCCTACATGGGGTTGGCCTTGAAGAGAATTTGGAAGTTTCAGCTGATCCAGAATTTGGGCTGCATATATGCCTACATAACACCGCCGCTATACGAGCTGCGCTGGCTCCCAGCAGGCTTCTGAGTACGATACAAGGTGCAGGTTGTCACCTTTAAAGCCCTACATGGCATGGGACCAGGCTACTTATTGGACTACCATTACCTGGAGGTTTCCACCCATCCCACCAGCTCTGGCAGAGTACACATGCTCTGTGTACCATTAGTGAAACAGTGTCATCTGGTGGGTCCCCAAAGTATGCCTTCTCTGTTACAGCTTCTGCACTATGGAACAGCCTCCCAGCTCCTCACTGAAATATGGGCAGACCTACTTTATTGGCCTTTTGCAAGGCCATAAAAACCTGGCTTTTTCCTCAGGCACTGGGCTCAGGAAGTTAGTATGAGGGCTATGGTATGAGTTATGTGATTACTAGTTTTGTGGTTTTATTGAGCCTGAGTATAGTGTTATTTGGTTTCTTTTGGTTTAATTGAATCTTTTGTTTTTAATTTTTTCCCTGCCCAGAGTTTCCTGGATAGATGGGCGGCCATGTAAATTGAATACAAATAAATAAGTTCTAATCTAAGTTTACACTGTTAAAACACAACAAAATTCCCAACCTCTTGTCTCATCACCTTGAACTCCTCTGCGAAAGGTGAAATATAAATCTAACAATCAAACTAAATGAAAACCTTGCCTATCTTACATTATAGCATTGCCCCCTTCTCATCCTTGCCTTGGCATTGCCAGAGACTTGCTATAAGCAATTTGCAATTATCTTTATTTTAAAATTCCTAAGACCCACCTGCACCTGGACTTCAGTATTGGGCATAGGACAACAATTAACCATGACAACTGCTTGTCCTGGTGTGTCAGATGCTTTTCACGTTTGACTCTAGAGGAGGTTGACAGGATTCTGGAGAGGTAAGGGCTATCTTGTTCAACCATTGCCCTTCCTAGCTGATTAAATAATTCAGGAGAAGATTGGTCCCTTGGTTAATAAGGAAGATAAATAATGCGCCCTTGTGGGAAACAATGGTTGTTGAAAAGCATGCATTTTCACAGTAATGTTTAGTGTCCTTGAGCCAGTCTGTATCACCTTGATACAACTTTGAAGGTGCTCTTTTATTTTCCTTTTAATTGTTAGGCTATCCTATGGATATAAAGGTGGGATATACTGTAAATCATGACAATCAATGAATGAACTAATAATGTCCTTAGATATTGGTGTGGGTGATAAATTTAATTATCAGTATAAATTGCTGATTGCACTCTCAGTCCAAAGGCATCCAAGACCTACAAGGCTTAAGATACCCATCTTGTGTCTTAGCCTTCCTCCAAACTCCAAAAAAACCAATCCACCCCCCCCCCTGCAAAAAATTGGTCTCCCCTACTCTAGGAGCTACAAAAGGAATGCAGAGGAACTGTGGCCCCAGACCACATTCCTTGCACCTACTGACCTAACCTATACCCTTGATCTCAAATCTCCAATCAGTTGCCTCATTTCATCCCCATCTTTGAAGTAGAAATGGTAAATAGTACTTTGATACTTTGCCCAGATGGTTATGAGGCTTGGATTCATCAGTGTTTGTCCAGCAGACTGAACAGAAAGCTATTGAAACAAACCATTCTTTAAAACAAAACAGAAAACAGGGCTTGTAACTCCTCCTCCTAGCATATTCCTGCAATTGAATAAATTCTCTTTCCACAAATGGTATTGCAAGCAGAGGGAGAGGTAAGCATCCCCATTCCTCTCTCATCTCAAAGTCTCAGGGCATCTGGATAATTAACCAAGTTTTTCAAAAAATAAATGAAAAGAAGGGCTGGAATTCCCACACTGTTTCATCTACTCTGTATTTCATCATCCACTGAAAAATCCAGCAGGAAGGACAAATATGGATGCCAGAAGATGGCCTGTCTCAGTGCTCATAGTACCACTGTTCTTCATCTTTGCAGGTAAGGACGTTACTGGCCATAGGAAGGGGAAGGTCAACTGTTTCAGGTGGCGAGTGCCATTTTCTAAACAAAATTATGAGGCGATCTGAGCAATTTCAAGTTTAGCATCTATTTTGGGTAAATTGGTGAAAAGATTTGATGAAAAGATTATCAAACATGTAAAAGCAAGTCTGGCTGAAGAAGAATCAACATTGCTTTGATAAAGGTAAGTCCTATCTACCACATTTCAAATGGCTTTTGTGAAAATTGCTCACTACAATTCCTGAACAAATGTAATAACCATTAGATAATAGGATTGTTATGGACCAATATCTGGAAGGAAGCAGAGATCAGTGGAAAGTTCTTGCCATGGAAGGATATAAGAAGAGGGACTCCCAACAATGAATATATAAGGGTTTGTGCTTTTTTATAAAAGCTTGCCTTTGGCAGTGAGATGGCCACGTTTACTGATGACAGCTAATGATTCAGGATGATAAAAACAAAAAGGGATTAGACAAGAAACTCCAAATTCTGCAGACTGGATGAAGTGTGTAACAAAGTGAGTTTAACAAACAGCAAAAACCTCTAAAATCAGGGACACAGAGCTAAGATTTGATAATGCACACAGGGCAACACTCCATCACACATACAAGCCATGGACACACCTTTTTGCAAAATTCTTCACAGAGAACCATGGTACAGTTGGGAGAGCAAAACTCAGACATACATTAATTTGCAGGACACACTGCCAGGAAAGATTTGCAAAAGGAACAATGTTTGGGGGCTATTAGCCATATGGATTAGATTCTTTTCCTTTATAAAGGAATAAAAACATCATGAAAAGGAACATTATTTTCTCACAATCATAATTTTATGGTCACAATAGAATATCTCTAAAACTGTACCTCTCAGTTAAATAATAAAACAGAAGCAGATAAAAATAAAAGTGATACATTTAACATTCAGGAGGACTAGATAACTGCATGGAATATTTGTGAACTTTTGAAAAAGTTACTTTTTAAACAGTTAAACCAGTCTAACAAGGATTTGAAGTAGCAGCTTTCTGTACTTATATTGAGGATAGTAGTTGGAAAAAGAGAAATGTGTGTATTTAATTTTGAAGGTCATTCATTCATTCATTCATTCATTCATTCATTCATTCATTCATCCATCCATCCATTCATTCATTCTACATACATGCCTGCATACATACCATGACCACTAGGTCAGTTCATCAGTATCTGCAGATGCTGATGAACTAAGGTAATGCTCCTGAGACTGTTAAGTGCTGGTAGCCATTCATGCTGCTACCCTCTTGGGAAAGAAGCAGTAAATGTTCCAGTTAAAAGCTTACTTTTAGTAAATGTGTTTACTAGTATTTAGACAGTTGTGTGAGCTCAGAAATTATTCACCCAGCTCAAGCTGGATTCATATGAGGATCTGAACAACTACATAAGAAAGATCAAGGATCTCAAGAAAGAAAGGGTTAGTTGTTAGCTTAGTTTCTAAGGTTACAGTTTTAGGAATTACCCTGACAAAACCTACTTACTGATTCTATACCTTCTCATTATTCTTCAGTCTATCATACTTGATTAAGTGGAACATACTTTATTGTTTTTCTTTTGGCCTTTGTAGAGCAAATAAACTAGAGATAAACTGGAAACGGGATCAGAGAAGTATAATAAGGATGATCAGGAATAGAAACTAAGTTTTCTGAGAAGAGAAAGAAGGAACTAGGAATATTCAACAACTTTAACAGTAGAACCAATTACCCAAGGAGGCTGTGGGTGTCTCTTCACTGAATGTTTTCCTGCAGAAGTTAAACTGCTGGGCTTGCTTTAATTTGAAGTCCTCCACTGAGTAGGGACTTGAATTTGATGTCCTAAATGGCCCTTTCAACTCTATGATTCTAATTGATATATTAATAATTAAAAACAGATAGAATCCTGCAGTTTTAGGATGCTACTGAAATTTTCTTTATGGGGCTTTGGGGGTGGGGGTGGGGTGGGGTGGGGATCCTAAAGTGGATTAAAATGTGTTCTTACAACTTTTTTCTGTGCTATTAGAAATTCTGAAATCTTAAAGGTCTTGGACTAGTTAAGGTATATAGAAGAGAGTGTGCAGATCTACAAATGATGTATTACATTTTAACACTTTGCTGAAATGTATTCAAAAGGATCAGTAGATAGGGGGCAATGCTGTGCCTATCCCTTATTGCCCCCTTTGCCCCCTATATCTTAATCCTATATTAGTTCTGAAGGTCTCAGTTGACCATAAGATGTTCAAAGGTTGTCCCTCACTGAAAAATAGTCTGCTGTTTTAATAGGTAAATAAACATTGGTTAGAAGAATTTTCTTCTGAAAATCATGAATTAAGTTTAAAACCTCAAAGTGAGACTTTCTGTTTTTCCAGAAAATTCCAGACTTGAGCCAGTGGCTAGACCATAATAAAAACCATGGTATAAAAATCCTTGAAAGCCCCAGAGAGGATATGCAAGAAATGGGAATACATTCTTGGTCAAAATAAGTGTTATAAATATTGCACAAGATTCACTTCATTGTAACAACTGTGTTTGCCTTGTCTTACTTAAAATTATTATTATGGTTGGTCACACAGTAGGCCAGATGTTTAGACTGGATTGGCATTTTTATCCACCTGCTGAGTCCTTCCAAAGGACCTGGGATAGGCAGATGTTGTTGTTTGATGGTTTGATGGTGTTGAAGGTATCATTGCAGGATATAAGCTGTTCCAAGTAAAGCTGCCTTTTGCAGTTGACTGGTGGTGATTTTGTCAACGGCAATGGTATTCAAGTGGTGCTCCAGATGTTTTGGGATTGCACAATAGTAAGGTGCCAGTTACTGTTGGTCCTACCTTTGCTTTCTTTTGCCATAGTCATTCTACTTCTATTTGCAGTTCTTTATATTTTGTGATTTTCTCCAGTTC